CCGTGGTCCGGTGGCACGCCAGTGACCTGGCGTGATGGTGGTTGCAGCCCCATGGCACGGTGGTGGCCGTGGAATGGAGGTGGCCATGGTCCTGTGGCGTGGTGGGCACCACGGCATGGTGACCACTATGGCCTCATGGCATGATGGTGACCACGGCATGGTGGTGACCACAGTCCCATGGCATGACGACCACAGCCCCATGGCACGGTGGTGACCATGGCATAGTGGTGACCACAGCCCCATGGCATGGTGGTGACCACGGCATGGCAATGACCAGAGCCCCGTGGCGTGGTGGTGACCACAGCATGGTGGTGACCAAAGCCCCGTGGCACGGTGGTGACCATGGCATGCTGGTGACCACAGCCCCATGGGACACCGGTGACCATGTCCCCACCTCTCCCAGGTCCCACATTGCTCCTCACCAGCGACATCATCCGTGCCCGTCTCGGCTCCTCGGCGCTGGACAGGTAACTCCTGTCGGGAGGAACATCACCGGTGACCCATCACCATGCCGCCGGCTGACCCCTCCATCTCGGCAGCATCCAGGAGTACCGCCTGTCGGGTTGGCTGGCGCAACAGGAGGACATCCACCGCATCGTCCTGTACCAAACCGACTGTACGCATGTCCCTGTACCAAACCGCCTGTACCCTGACGCCGTGGACTTTGCGCTGCATCCGTCAAGCCGACTGCATCCTCATCGTAGGGTTGGGCGACCAAGAACCAGCGCTGGGAGAGGTGAGATGGGGGGTTAGGTGGTAGTGGGACAACACCGCGCCCGGGTGACTGATGGTTTCTACAGCTGGAGCAGATGCTGGAGAACACGGCGGTGCGTGCGCTGAAGCAGTTGGTCCTCCTACACCGCGAGGATGGTCCCAGCCCTTCCCGTACCGTTGAGTGGCTCAACATGCGCAGCTGGTGCTCGGGCCACCTCCACATCAAGTGTCCCCGGCGCGTCTTCTCCCGCCGTCAAACTGGTACGTGTGTTCCCCCCTGGGTGACGTTGGTGGTCAACCGTCATCATCGTCACCCATCGGTCATCCCATCCGCAGCGGGAGATGTACGAGAAGGTGTTTGAGAAGAGCGCCGACCGGCACAGCGACTTCTCCCGGTTGGCGCGGATCCTCACCGGCAACACCATCGCCCTCGTCCTGGGGGGCGGCGGAGCCAGGTGGGTGCTGTGCCGTGGCAGGATGCGACCCGGCAGGGTGGGGATCCCGCTCTCGTCCATCCTCCTCTATTTTCTCCGTCCGTCCAGGGGTTGTTCCCACATTGGGGTGATCAAGGCGATGGAGGAGTCGGGGATCCCCATCGACATGGTGGGCGGCACCTCCATCGGCGCCTTCATCGGGGCGCTCTACGCCGAGGAGCGCAGCGCCGTCCGCACCAAGCAGCGGGCGCGCGAGTGGGCCAAGGTGGGTGCCGTGGCACGTCCCCCACCCCGGCGAAGGTCCTCCCTGCCTGTGGCCAGCCCTGGGGTGTTTCTAAAGCATCTCCTTCCTCCTTTTCTTCTTCCTCCTTCTCCTTCTTCCCCTTCTTCTTCTTCCTCCTTCTCCTTCTTCCCCTTCTTCTTCTTCCTCCTTTGCCTCTTCTCCTCTTCCTTCTTCTTTTCTCCTCCTCTTTCTTCTTCCTCCTCCTCCTCTGCCTTCTCTCCTTTTCTTCTGCTGCTTCTTTCTCTTCTTCCTTCCTTTTTCTTTCTCCTCCTTCTTATTCCTCCTCCCGCTTCTCTTCCTCCTCTTTTTTCTTCCTCCTCCTCTTTTTTCTTCCTCCTCCTCTTTTTTCTTCCTCCTCCTCCTTTTTCTTCCTCCTCCTCCTCCTCCTCCAGTGCATGAATTCAGTGTTCGAGACCGTCCTGGACCTCACCTACCCCATCACCTCCATGTTTTCGGGTTCAGCCTTCAACGCCAGCATCAACAAGGTTTTCCAGGACAAGCAGATCGAGGTGTGTTGCATGGACCGCCCCCCGGAGCTGCACCCACCCGTGGTGGGGGGGTCCAACCAGCTCCCCACCCACCCACCAACGTCCCCACGGCGTCACCCACCCCATCTTGTCCCCGCAGGACCTGTGGCTGCCCTACTTCAACGTCACGACTGACATCACGGCCTCAGCCATGCGGGTGCACACGGACGGTAAGAGCTCCCCGGGGAGCCGGGGAAGCTCTCCGGTGCCACCACATCCCCCCTTGTGGGGACCTTCCTCACCAGCACCCTAAAACGGTGTCGCCACGCCACGGGGGAAGGTTTGCCATGTGCCAGGAGGACGTATCCTGGCACGGCAAGGAAAGGGCTTGGAGGGCTCATGGTGAGCCTGGGCAGTGGTGGCTTCCCAGAGCCACCTGGGGCTGGTGACCCCACCAGGCTCAGGTCCCCATGGGGGTCTGGCTGTGCCCCACGTCCTCGGTGGGGTTGGGGACAGAATTGGTGTGTGGAGCCACATCTCACCACCCTGAGCTGAGCGTGCATGTCCCCTCTAACATATCTGCTCACCACTAACCCCAGTAACCCGCGCTCACGGCATGTGGAGCACAGGGACGCGGTGGCAGTGCTGGGGATGATGCCGTGGCGGTGGTGGGGA